ATCAACATCAAACTTCTTTGAGATAAGACGACCGATCTTATCACAGTGGGTACGCATCAAGTCTTTGTATAAAGCATTACGTGAAGCTGATAGAACGTGCGTGGCGGCCACGTAGCGTAACGTCGAGCACTCCTCCCTCAAAGCTTCGTGTTCCTTGTGCACAAGTCCCTTTAAATGAAGCAAATGGGATTGCTTGGAGCGTAGTTCTTCGACCAAGACCTCTCGCTGGTAGTTGTCGGCGGACTTTCTCCATTTTCGAGCTTTTCTTCGTTCGACTTGAGCAAAAGTAGGCACAACATCGAAGTTAATACATAATCGTAGGAATTCTATAGATCCTTCACATTTAACTAAGCGTTTAGTACACTTTTCAAGTTCAAGTTTTAACGCTTTGTAATTTATTCACCGCTTTATTATATATATACTCGATTTTATTATTTTAGTTTACTTGATAATGACGTTCTGGAAACGTCGAAACGTCGTGTTATGCTTTATAATATTTTATCGCAGATTTTTATTGTCAAATGCTTTACCAAATCTTTACTTATTTAACTGATAACTGTGAAAGAAAAGCTCAAAATTTACGGGGAAAATGGAGAAAATCAAAGCCAAACAAACTCACGTGTCACTAAAAAATGTTTTAAAAGTCAAAGACCCGAAGTTATCGAGACAAATTTAAGAAACGTGTAACTTGCGAGTTTTTTTCGGCTTTATTTTTGTTGCTTGTTGGATTAGGACCTAAATGGTCAATGCCGATAGTAAAATTGGGCAGTTCTTCGCTGGTTTCTTCCATATTTCAAAGAGAGGGAAAACTGCACTGCAGCTTAACAGGATGGAAACTCTGTAGCTTATCATAACACCTATGTTATTATTCCTTGTTGTTTGGATTAAACTTCAGTGATACACTGTTGATACAGTATCGCAACCCAGTGGGTGGAGGACCGTCTGGAAATACGTGACCAAGATGAGAATCACACTAAGAAAAGAAATGAGAACCACACAATACTGTAAGTTGCAATTCCCTCCAACTGCCATATATCTACTCCCTCATTTGGTGGGTTATTTAATTTCTTTATTGATTATATTTCCAACATGATCATGTTTACTCCCCAATCAGGCTGTAAGTTACTGGGTTCAGTGTGCTTATTTTATTTGTTATGTAAAATATATGAATTTGTAAACATTTTCATTACTTTGGAAAAAAATATCTCACCTCTTGACAAAGTACTTCAACTCTAATCATACCATGGCTGTAATCGTGCTTTTCAGCTACTGAAAGCTGAAGTGTTGTTGCATCACTAGAGGTTACTTCTATAGCAGAATGGAATGATGGCCAACCAGTGCCAGAATCAAATTTTGTGGATGAGCTGGAATTGTGTAAACCAACAAAATATTCCCTGTGGTAAGTATACATGCAAAATACAATGCATAAGGCATTAAAAGCATTAGATTTCCAAACATGACTTGCTTTGGAAAGAAGTAAAAGTTTGAAATTAGGAGATCCTTGCAGCTAAGAACACTACTGAAACGAGTAGTTGTAAATAGGACAAGTAGTGTTCAGTAGTGTTTCAGTAGTGTTCTTAGCTGCGAGGATCTCCTAATTTCATCTTTCCACCGCAGTGCAAATATGTGAATTTTCATATATCTAAAAGTAAAAGTTTTTTGACCATGATCTTTCACCTTTAAACAGTAAGGATCAATAAGGCAATATAAACAAAGGTGAAATCAAACAAGGTGAAACAGAAAATACACAAGCATGACTGCACCAATCAGTAAGCACACAACAGAAGAAGTGTGTGGTGTGCAACAGACAATTAAAGGAAAACTCAGTGAGACAGCGAGGATTGAAATATGCCAACTACTGATAATCAACCAACCATAGCAGCACATCTGATGGTCACTTATAACTGGTGATCTCCTCCTTAAATTCAGTGAACTGCATTCAACAAAAAATGATTTACAGCAGTGAGGAACCAATGATGACTGTTACAAGAAAAAAAGGTCTTACCAAAACAGATCACTGCCACAGCAAACACACTTGTATATTCCTTTTCCTTTGAAATCAACATACTGACCAGACCATGGCTGCAAACAATTTTTGAGTACGTAAATGTATTCAAGTGTCAAGATTTATTCTAGTGCATGACCAACACTAATTGAGGACTGCATAAAACACAGAGATACTCAACAAACCAGAAAAAAATTAGTTATTTCAAAATTCCCAAATTCAATATTTTACAGAAGAAAATTTAAAATAATTATGGAAATAAATTACAACCTTGTGTAAACATCAGTTTTTGTCTTAAAAACACCCTTAATTTTACATAATGTTTGCCTTACTGGTTCCGTTCCCTTTTGTCTGCAGATGGCAAATTGTTCAGGAGTGAGTTTTGCTTTCCATTCAGTGTCTGGCATCTTTTGTATGGAAACTGAACAGTGAAATAAAAATGTAATCATCACTGATATACTAAATGAAACCCAGGAAAGAGGATGTAAATATCATATATGGTAGGAACATCGATGACACACTCAGCTGGACCTTGTGTACCACTTTTTTTGTTCTCACCACATTTGACGTCCTCTGTGATCTACTTAGACACACAGAAACATGGTCCAGATTTAGAGGTAAGTAGGTGGAGGGGGCGGGGGGGCAGTGTTATGTTGTGGCCTCTCATAATCTGGTCTTGCTCTTTGTTAACATTGGTCCTCCAACATCGAGTATTGGTCTTCAAACATCAGTATTAAAAAAAAAATTATTTAAGTTAGGAATCTTTTCCGTGAGTAACAAAATTTAAAACATAAAACTAGGGCTACTGGGATTAATTAAGAAGTCAAGTTTTAGTGTATATACCCGTGGAAGTACTGTTTGATTTTGTTTTCAATAAGGAACACAAATTTTGAACGTCTTATTTATTCACCTTGGGTTATACATGGCCGCCCGGTTTCTCTATTTTTTCCCGTATGCTTAGCACTAACAGCTTACCGCTGGACACACATAGTCCTCGATTACATATCGTAAGTCCCTTGTGACTCATAGTAACTCGCGTATGACGACCAAGAAGCGCAATGCGTTCCCATCTGATCCAGATTTGACTACAAAGTTTGAAAGTAAGTTTCGCAGTGGCCGCCATATTAGTTACTATTCATTACCAGGTCTTCACTCTATCCTTAATTCACGGTTAATGGATACCAGCTCCCTGCGCGTCTAATCTCCAATCTCATAGCAAAAAGGCAATCCCTCGTTATCAGGCTTCTTTGCATTTCAAAATTAACACCCTAGTGATTTTGATATTACCAGAATTACAATGGGCTCATTTACATAAGGACTAATTTATTTGGGGAAAGTACTGATCCTAACAAATGTCGCGCTTAAGATACAGGAGCTCCCAAATATTTTACTCTTGGTAGAAACAAAAGACAACACTAAAAACATACTCATGTACGAATGCCACAGTTCAGTTGCTTGCTATCAAAACTGCACTCCAAACAAACAGGTTCTGCTGCCTCTACAGTGAGATAATACAAGCGAAAGAGAGCAGAATTTAATTGGACTGGTTGTCAAATTGTTTATCGAATTGATGTGTGGAAAAAGTCTCGCAAAATTAACATTCTGCGGAGACACAGGAATTGGTAGTGGTTTTTCCCAGGGACACATAATTTTTACTGGTTGAAACGGAATATTTGTATTCCTTGGGTGTCACAGGCTTTCCCACAACCCTAAATACATGGTCAATAAAAATAAGCCATTCCCTGTAACGGAGTTTGGGTTTCCTTTTGCCTTAGACAGTTAACATGTTTATCTCCTTGTGGTAACTGCGTGAAAGTTAACATGAGGCTTTCATGAAACAACACACGCCACAATTATCATCAGTGCGAATGTCATCAACATGCTTTCTGATTATACGTCAAGGTATTTAAATTCTTGAAATTCGAAGGTATATCTCCGCGGTAGCAAAACGTAATTCAATGAAAAAACACGGAAAAACGTCCAAACAATTCCGCTCTAATTAATGAGCAGAAAAAGTGTAGAACATGATCTAACTGAAAAGTTACTGTTTAATTTTAAATCCTGGGCCTTGGTCGCGTTTCTAACGAACCGAGTCAGGACGCTGTCATACCTTTACACCAAGCACCAAGATTTATTTGGGTCCAAATGTTCCTGGCCCCTCTTTTCCTTCTTTGCACGGTAAATATCAACTACGGTAATATACGTTAACGAAAACTGAGTCATGACGGCTTAGGAATAATTTTGATAACAAACCGAAAAAAAGGCTGATACTGCCTAGCAATTGTAAACTTAAAGAGGGAGCCCGCAATGCATTGGACCACCCGTTTAATACGAGCAAATGTAAATGACGCGAGAGTGGTCCGCTGAACAGTAACACCAAATCACTTTGAGTTGCTTTCGCATTTAATTCTATGACCTGATGGTCTTAAGGCTCTTTGCTGACTGGAATCTACAAGAGCGGTTAGATGCGAACATTGTTAAAATAACCTAATAATCAAAAAGCATCCAACAAACAAACTAAATGACAACAATGCTCTAGTTTTGAAAGATATCTAGATTTTTCTAAAATTTTCCTCATAAAGTTAAATAAAATGGAGCTCAGATAATTAAGAAGTCTTTCATAAATTAACTTTGTTGTCTTTTTCCTCAGGGCTCGTTACCGAGGAATGATCTACAGAATCATCACTGGTTTCTTTATTTTCTTCCCCTTTTTGTGTGTATGTTTCACTGATTTCTTGTTTATCGTTTCCTTCTTTCGATGTTTTGTCTGTTTTCGCATCAGACGTGTTCGACTCTTCAACATCCATATCTTCACTTTCCCCTTCCTTAAAGACAAAAAGTTACAAGATTAAGCACACTCATTATTTTACTGTAAAATTCACCTTCACAGACTCATAAAAGTAAATTTTTATTTCAAATTGAGTTCCCTCAGTTTTCCTCCGATAAGAAGACAAAGAACCTTTTTGGCTAGCAGACTATTTGGTAAGAATCAGGACTTACCGATTCATCGCATTCCTTGCATACCCACTGATATCCTCGAGTCTTGGGATTAGCCTACACGTGATGTAAAAGTAAGAAAGCTATCAACACACAGCAATGGATAATGAACGGCAGTTTCGGGGTTAAAGGGGGTAAGTTTCTGAAGAAACTGTGGTACCGCGTCGGTGGGAGAGTAAAAATAGATCATTTGGTTTTATCAACTGCGTTCATAGTGTAAATTGACCACCATAAAGAGTTTCAAAGTTGAGGTTTCGAGCGTTAGCCCCTCGTCAGAAGGAATGACTGGATAACTCAATTACTAGTTCTTGGGGTTAACCTAAATACAAAAGTAAGAAAGCTATTTACACACAGCAAAGGATATGTTGCGCTATAAAGTTACTTAAACTATACGTCTGTCCACACGCATCATGTGACTTTTATCTATTTGAAGAAGCTGTTAATGAAACAACTGATGGGCTCTGAGGCCTCTGTGTCATGCTTTTTTACCAACTCCATTTTGCTGCAGTTATACTCTATTATGTAACACCAAATCACTGGTTTCTCTTGGCTAAGTGTTTTTCTCCTTGAGCTGCTCGCAAACTAATGGCCACGTGTCAGTTCTTATTGTGTGAATTACCATCACATTCTACCTACCTTAACTGGAGGGTCAAGGCAATGAAAGTGATAACACAGCTGACAATTGTCACACCTGGAAAGTAAAGATACAGCGATAAATTACGCGGAATATACGGTAAACCCTGATGACAAGACGGTAGGATAATTTTGATTTATACCTGACAAGATTAGCATTGGTTCCACTATGTTTACACACGCTACATTCAGTCCGCACATCCACTGGCTTCTTTTTTTTGTCCGCACCCTCTGGATCTCTCCTCACAGGCCGCCGTCCTCGTTTTGGTGCAGCTTCTGAGTCGGATGATAGTTTAGGTTTCTGCGTAACACAAACCAAAGGTATCAACACTTAAAAATGTCTTATCACGTTTTATGTCTAAAAGCAGTTTTGGTAATTTTTGCCGTTATTCCTTTAATTGTTAAAGTACGTTTTGGTCGCATTGCAGTTTTATCAAGCTATACAGTATTAAGTGAGAATTTGGGCCATGATTCTTTCTATGTATTTTGTTTTCATGTGGAAAAAGAACATACTCACATTTTACAACAAGTTGAGAGAACATAATGAATGCAACGTACAAATTAAACCTAAATCAGTAAACACTCACTTTGCTCACATCTTCGGCTTGTGCTGTGGGATTTTTCCGTTTGGCCGTCTTCAGTTTTCGCTTTTTTGCCTTAAAAAGAGGAAAACCAGATGTAATTAGTGCTGTCACCCATTATCGATATCGGTCCGGTCACCAGAGCTATTATTTGCTTGATTTCCTATACGAATATGTAAACCTTACACTGCAACTAGAAATAAGAAAAAAGTTCTCCATTTTCTCTTTTTAGTGGTTTATCTCCATTATTTTGATTGTGACACTTAAGCTAATAAGAAAAAGAGAGCATGATTAAACAACACTTACGAGTACTAGGCCTTACCTCTCCCTTGTCAGGAGTAAATTTGCTCGGCTCCTTGATGACCCGTCTGTGGCGCGCTTGAGAGATGGGTGTGGTGTCCTGTGGATCTACTTCCATTTCTTCATCATCTTCACTTGGGTCACACTCTGAACATTGCCTGTTGACACAAGATACATATCATTCTCACGGTTTAGAGCGCAAATACTTATGCAGAGGGTTTGGCTAAAGCTCTTGTACCGTATTCATTTCTCTCGACATCGCTCTCTTTAGGAGAGCGACAAGAAAGTCAAGAAAGACAAGAAAGTTAACTTGCGATCAGTTATGCAGCTACTGAAATTGTGACTCCGTAACTGACGCGGAACACACACAGATGAACTTTGCCGACTTTTTTCTAAATTAAAAAGATTGCAGCGCTACATGTTCTGTTGAACTGAACTACACCAGCCAAGTATAATGCGTTTTTTTAATCCTGTGCATGAAAGTGGTCCTTAAAAGAACTGCTGAAAGGAATTAATCATCTGTAGCAAGGGTAGTCATGAGTATGTGGTAGAAGTAAGAATAAAGTTAATACAAAGGTCCCTAGATATCAAACGCTTTTCACTTTAAACATGGTGAAGCTTGACCCTCCCCCCTAATCTCAGTCTCCAAACTGTCGCTCTCATAACCTACCACAAACACTTGGCTGAACGCTTGGGCATGCGAGTTAGAGGTGGATCGACACATCCAAGATGATAATGATGATGACACGTGTCACACTGCACCAGCTGATGTTGATTCTCTGTTGTTTTACACGTAGCACAACTGAAATATAACCCACAACAAATACATACAGATGCTCATCAAATGAAGGGAGCCACTAAGAGAGCTAAATTTGCCTGAAGTGCTTAATGCGCATGCTTTTATCTGTGTATTCGCAACCTAATCTACCAAGGAAATCATACTATGGAGTACGTTGACCTACACGTTCAGTTTAAGTGACTTAATCCTCGTCTGCGATGCTGAGTGTTTCGGCTTTTTGAGTTCTAATAAGGGTGGCTTAGCTAACTCCTGAAATCAAAAACACAGTAAAAAAGTTGCTATGTGGTCTGTAGTTATCAGAATAAAAGAAATGACTGGTTCAATATCAATATCAAAATACCGTAAACGCTGAGCTTCTTTCTTGCTTACTTCAACAAATAAATAGTAAAATTCACGATTCATGATAAGGAGCATAGGTTTGTCCTCTAACACTAACAAGTCCTGATTAATCTTACTCATGATTGAAGGAAAAAAATATATATATTTCCCTTTCCTTTCCAACTACAGAAGGAGGTAAACAAGAAAACAGAATGAATAGGAAAAATCAACTACGGTTTCCAATATTTGCACCTAACTTGAAAAGAACATGGTGAAGTTCTAATGATTTACAAGACGCACGAAGTACGTTGTCCTACATTTGCAGCCAACTTGCACAGAACATGGTGAAGTTCTAATGATTCGTCTCTTCTCTCCTGGACTTCTTCAGCCAGACATTGAACGCTTTCCGTTAACTAGATTAAAAAGAAACAAACGTAACTAAAAAACCAAACGTAAAATAAAGTGAATAGCATTAACACAGTGTTTGATAGAATTTTAAAGTTTGTCTTTTTCGAAAGTTCGACTAAATTTATTTACTGACGATGCTGTCTTTATTAAATGTTATTTAAAGAAAGAAAACAAAACAATGTACCCTCGTTATATCCATAAACCATTGTTTCTACATAGTATCAAAACCATACGAAGATCTTTAATGATAACTAAACTTTAAACTCATGAAATTGACAAACCATTTAAGGCAGCAACTCTCTAAAAAACATCAAGTGCTTTACCGCTTGATACTTTTCTCTTAAATTTTGTTCCTCTTGCTGCAATCGCTTGTTATTCAGTCTCAGTTCGTCTTGGCGCTCCTGCATCTCCTTCAATCTAGCACTTCGATCTGGGAAAGACGATACACGAAGAGTAACGATAATACTATGACCGTAAGAAAGGGAATAACCAAAGAACTACAAAAAAAAGTACACTTGGCATAAGGACAGCACTTGAAAGTACTATAATTGCTAATATTTCGAAAGGTTTCATCAGATGAAAGACAGAACTTGCAGCAAATGCAGTCGAAATTGAATTATGCTCATAAAAGTGAAGGAACACAAAATAACGGGAGACTAAAAAGTTAAAGGAAACAAACAACGATGTTACCATGGTAATAGTTCACAAATTCGCTAGTGAGAGCTGGTTGAACAAACCACTTGCGACGAACATTCATGACACCCTGGCTCTGAAAGATAAAGTGATAATTCCCACGTGTCAGGAAAGGCAACACAGTTATGAACAAAATTACACTACAACTGTGGAGTTTGACCTTCCTAAACTTACTATCCAAACGTCAAACAATGCACGCACTAACCACTAACATTTCGTTTCTGGAGAAGGAATAGTATATTGAGTTATGAGCTCGACTGACTGGAAGGAGACAGATGAAACATTGGAACGTCTCCTGTTATTTACTTCTTTTTCTGCATTTTTTGTTTTATGTAGATGCGGGTGTGTTTGAGTGGTACGTAGCACTAATATCCATCAATTGATCACTTAAGTGTGGCCGCCCTATCTCTCTAATTAAGGGTAACTTGTATCATCTATATTGTTTATAATTGCAGTAATTTACGTATAACTGTTGGGTACAAATAAAAAATAAAGTTGTTAAAGTTGTTGCACCGTTATGTTCTGAAATTAGTCTACCCAGTAACTATTTACCCCAGTCTACCCAGTACCTATTTTGTGGTTTAGCATGAGACCTTTAAATGCTAATTATTGTAACAGTACCTGCCCTGTAGTGTAGCCCAATAGTTGTGCTTTCTTGAAAAGCTGACGACATGCTGGAAAATTAATTTAAAATAGAAAATGTCAAGCTTCTCATATGTTTTTGGATCAACCTGACTAACTATAAAGACAGTATCAAAATTATAAGTGCCATGTGGTTCTGTCAGCCCGTAGTAAAATATCCAACCTCTTCTATAAATGATTGAGCAGTCTTATTTGGGTAATACTGAAAGGTATTAGGAGTAACGCATTAAGAAACAGAGACATGTTATGCCTACAAGAGTCATTTTTGAGTTATCTAAAAGAAATAAATAAAAAAATAACTCTATGTTAGTGTGTGGAGTGGTATTTTGCTTGCACCAATCAGTTTGCCGCATTAGGGGAAGTATCTTGCATCAATCAGATTGCTTCATAAGTGTATGTATTAAGCACCAATCAGATTGCCACATAGGGGTATGCATCTCACAACAATCAGATTGCTGCCTTAAGGTATGTGTCTTGCACCAATCATATCACAGCATTTGGATATCTTGTACCAATCACAGCATTTCAGTATTGCTTTCTTGCAAATATGTCATGGAATCAGGGGATAATTTTGTATGGCATAACCGACTCAGCCAAGTGTGAAGTTCAAATCAAAACTTGAATGTTGAAAATAGATGTTGAATGGTGAAAATAAAACTAGAATGTTGAAAATAAAACTTGTATGTTGAATTATGAAACTTGGCTGTTGAAAATGAAACTTGAGTGTTAAAAATAAAACTTGAATTTTGGCAGTGATTGAAAGCCATACCATAACAGCCATCACAAGGTAAAAACAAAATTATCAATCAAATATGCTATATGCAAATGCTTTGCACAATTTCTATCTGAATCAGCAAAACTAACCCTTGTTAAACAAACGCTCAAGTGATAATTTCGTGTTAAGCCTTCAGCTGACAGCCTGTGCATTCTAAGGGAATATATATATATATATATATATATATATATATATATATATAGGAAGTCTGCAAGTCGATTTTCGCGTGGAACAGTGCTCAATACGTTGAAGCAGAGCAGATTAAATATTATGAGAGGGAAAAAGGAACCCCTGAAGAGTGAAGCGATTCACGAAACAGGCTTGTCGGGAAATGTAGTTGCGTCCCTTTTTTCCTCTCATAATATATATATATAAACAGGCTTGTCGGTATGAAAGGGTGGTCTCTGTTTTTTCCCTAACTCAATATTTATGTATACATATATGCTATTATTAAGATGGCTTCTCTCACCTCCTGGACATGTGCTCAGTAGTCGAGGAATTTTTTCTGAGGGAGCTTTGAAAGAAAAAAGGAAAACATGTTTTAAAAGAACACAAATTTGAGTAAGAAAAAATTCCAATTTCTAAAATGCTAACAATCACTTATTTCACAATTTGAGGTTTTTTTTTCACCTATATAATCCAAATTCACCCACAAGACCAATTAATGAGCTGGAAGCCTCCTCAAGTAATTTTGAACACTTCTTTGATAAAAGATGTCTCAATGAGAAACAAACCTATCTTTGACACATTGATGTTGACATTTCTCCAATCTTACATAAAATAGGCGTGGTACTATATGCTTGTTTGAAATAAAAAATATACTGTATGGACACTGCTTTGGAACACTTACTGAAAACTTTTGTGAGATTTTTCATTCGCTTTGCCTGAAATTCTTGACGGATGCTAGCCAAACAGTGTTTCACTCTTTCCTGTCAAAAAAGAAAGAACTCATCATTGAAAGCAGTCCTTCTGAATTACTTGGAAATATTCCATTTGAAAGGGAAATAGCTTTAACATACTTTGTCCTCTGCTGACCGCCTTTCACTTGCTTTTTTGTAGCGTGACTGGTATGCTAGCCATTGGCGTCTCTAGGAAAGGAGAAAGCATTATGACAAGACAGAAGCTCACATTTATCACTCAGTAATTAAAAGTAATGTTCTGTACAAAATGTAGGTGTGCTTTGAGTCTTTTACTTGAGCTAATTATGAATTATGTTTGCTCTTCATTCATAGCAGCAAATTCCACAATTTTTGGTGTGATCTTACCCTGTTTGCAGTTGTTTTTTTATCTGCATGCAGCCTGCAATGCGCAAATAGAGGATCTGCAACATCCTATGAAAATAAAGTACACAGAACTACAACTTACAAAAACCTACAAAACACCACCATCTTTTTTCATATCTAAGAAAATAATATACCAGTTGTAAGCTACCTGAGAATGCACAAATAGAGGATCTGCAACATCCTGTGAAAATAAAGTACACAGAACTACAACTTACAAAAACCTACAAAACACCACCATCTTTTTTCATATCTAAGAATATAATAAACCAGTAGTAAGCTACCTGAGAGTACAACTCAGTCACTAATTATTACATTTACTAGCATTAAGGATTTTCATGAAATTCAAACTTGTTTTTCCCTCACCTCATCATTGAATTATGAAGTATATTTAAAGAGCATTTTGTACCTCATCACACTCTTCTGGAACATCTGACAAAAGTCCATACATCTGAGCACTAATAGGAATAAAAATAAGCATTTGATGTTGTTTTAGCATTGATCTTAAATGCAAATATAAATAAGACATCTGATATAAATAAGATATTGTTATAATATTCTGAAAAAATATGGTCAGTGGTTAAATCAACATCCAATTTTTGATAGAATCAAGAGGAACAAAAACCATTTTGAAGTCACTTAAGTGAGAAGTACTATGGTTTGGTTTCTCGACATTGCAGCACATTGTATTGTGTTAGTTACCATGTGACATGGAAGTATGTCCTGCACATTCCAGCATCACATTCAATGCACACCCCCGTCCTGCAAAACCGCTCATCTTCACAGAGAGTACAATCCTATGGAGGCCAAAAGCGAATAAAGCTCACAATATATTGAACCAGTCATAACTTCTTTTCAGGGATCACACTTTTCCATTGACCTTTCTACTGCTGCAATTATTTACCTTTGCACCCCACTTGTAAGGAGGAACTTCTGATAGTGTGACACACTGAAGCTGCTCAGGTTTAACAAATGCCACATCTGGGGTATAGAGAGCGCACAGCAAATGAACCCATCTGTTGGACATACAACATTCAAAGAGCATTACATACTTAATGGTTTACATCTCACTGCATGTAGTGATACTGCTTACTGCAATGACCCGTCGAAAGAGGAGTTTTTTCATTGACAGTTATACAATCCTTCATAGGAAACATTAACATCAATTTATCAACTTACATTCCCTTCTGAGCAAAACAAAAAGAATCCTAAGATCATACAAACTATAATAATATGAAATCACTACTCTCCTCAACTTACTGGCCTGTGTCCGTTTCTTTGAAAATTCCACCAAGATTTGGGCACAACTCGCAGTCCTATTAACAACATAAGGTAACAATAAGAATGAAATAAAAACAATTAAAACATATGTTTTGCATAACACAAGTTAAAGAAGATAAAGTGTTGATTACTCACTGGTTGAACTCCCAGTTTGCAGGCATCGCAAAACCACAGTTCTGTAGGTGAGTCTGTATCATTACTTTTTCCAGAGTCACTGTCTTCATCGTTGATACCATAGCAACCTATCACAACAATCACATTATATCAAGGCAGCTGCTTACCAGTGCTACAGATTAGTTTTCACTGATAACTAGACTATACATCACTTCACTTTTCAAAATTCCTTGCCTTACTCTGACTTTCCCTGATAGATATAAATTTCTTTCTGATGCAACTTACAGTATTTTTTAATCCAAACTCCCTTCACAAGCATCCTTTCCATTCATTGACAAAATTTTTCACAAGTGACATTTTTGCAGCCAAAAAATCAGAAAGGTAAAAAAAGACATTTTTAGTGACCTTTTTCAACATTTTTAATAAAAACAGTTACAGCTTTCTCCTTGACCTCAGAGAGTTTTTCCCCTGACCACTTTTATGTAATTGTGTGGAAACCATTCAATAGGCAACTCATTTTGGGAATATCAGTTTACCATTGACAGACTCTTGTCAACTTTTCATCCTCTAGTATTTAAGTTATGGCCAGGTGCACAAAGGAAAAGCAATGACAGTAATGGATTGTTACCCTCATGAACAGTGATTCCACAGTTATCACATTCCACTATTTCATCCCCTTCATCACTGTAATACATTTGAAAAAGATTGTGTTAGAAATAAATACAAAATAATGGTGAAATTCAATGTACAACTTTATTTCAATGGTAACTATAATCATCTCTATCTTATTGAAACCTTCAGGGGAAACTGAAGATTTGATTTTTAGGGAGTTGAGATCAAATGATTAAAAATACCAAGGATATAATTACAATATATATGTAAAACAAAAATAAAACAGACATTGATTTTGGTTCATATCAGTTCATAAAATTTGAACAAGCCAAGGTTCCAGTTATTGGAAGTGGAATAAGCTTTGAACAAAGGAGCAAACAAAAATTATTAATCCACATATTACCAGCTTTAATACACAGCTTTGTTGCAAACCTGGTTCATTTACCATTGGTGGTTTTATTCTTCTATGATATCACCTCACAATTAACCTTGGTTTGCATAAAACCCCTTGAAGCAAGGTAATTAAACACTTAATGGGAATTATACAGAATGAAAGTTCATTTCCTCAATCTATGATTTCATCACAATTTTCCATCTTTTTCCTAAACCTTTTCATCTCAGTTAGAAATACTTTTCAAGAAGTTTTAAATTTCATCTGTTTTGAAAACTTGGTACCAGTATGTTAAACAGTGCTCTTGGAAACTTACCTTAATCATGGAGAGTCCTTACTACCCATATTATCTATACATACATTGTTATTACAAACATCAACTCAAAATGAAGTCAAATGTCGACAATAACTCTACATTAATTATACGTGGAAGAGTGAAAATGTAACAACAGTACTACATGTTGTTTATTATCAGCTTTTGAGAATTTTAATTTAATAAGCAAAAAATACTAAAAGCTAAAGTATCAAAGTCTTTCAAAAGTATTCACTTACCTAATGTCATCCAGGCAGATTCCACAAATTAATATGTCCACCTTCTTGGATGAAGCTGAAACTTCACTGGAGGCCTGCAGGAAAAATGTTTGAAACTGATTAATAAAACCGTTGACTCCTAAACAGACTTTGATTGATCATGGATTATTTGAAGTAATTACATTCAGAAAATAGTATGAAAAGCCTTACAGGATTCTGTTTTTAGTTTATTAGGGGATCAATTACAAGAAGGCTGTGAATATCATGCCACAAGTTATTGCAAGTATTTTAAATACAAAAGAGACTCAAACAATTATCAATTGGTCATAAATGAGGCTTTCAAGCAAACATTGATCTTTTGTTAGTGCATTAATTTAGCCTTTTGTTATAAAATCTAAACCTTGATGAGAGTATGTGAATGCTAGAATTAATAATTTCAGGTAAAACTTTGCATACTATTATTTGATCCCTCAATTTCCTTTGTTTCTTAAATGTCTATTAACTGTCTCATAATCAGGATTAAGAGAAAAGAAAATTTAGCATTAACAATAGGTACAAACTGTTTCATCTGAGACAAATATTCAACAACAGTTAATACAGAATACATGATTATGAGGGATTTATGATTACAAACAAATATACATTCATTATATGTGTAGTTTGCCTAGTTTGCTTGGGGGTGGTCATATCATTTGCTAACTATATTTTGTGGTTTGTTTATCACATTTCTTAAAGAAATAATAATTTAATTAGCAAAAGTAATTACAGGATATTTCAACAAAAAATAAATTAAATAAAATTGGATTTGAATCTAGCCTCTGATGCCCCTTTGCATGTAATAGAACTGATAGAATTTTAAATTGATTTACCACTGAGCTTGGCTGACTGGTGACAGCTTTAGCCTTGGTTTTCATAACTTCTATCAAGTCACCTACAGTAAGAGCATTGACAGCTGTCAAGGATTCACTTCCATCTTCATCATCATCATCATCATCGTCGTCGTCGTCAACGTCATTTTCATCATCATCATCTTCGCTTACTTCTTGTACTTTTTTGGTGACTTGACCTTTATCTTGCTGTTCTGTTATATCAGTCTCTTCATCTGAACCAGAACCTCCTGATGAATAACATGCAATTACAACTGGGCAAATCACTAGGCTTGATTTTCAGAAATTATCAATCAATCAATTAATCATTATTTAAAAGGTAAGTTAAGGCGTAGAGGCAGCCAAAATGCAGCATATTAAATACTGCATAAGGGCAAACATCATCCATGAGTTTGGCAGATGGTGTTGTTAAAACATTGATGTGATAAGCTGAAAATGTAGGGTAAGAAATTCTCTCATTTTATTGAGGAATTGAAAGCTTCAACTATTGTTAGTTCTGGTATGATTAGATTGTTTTTCCCAGAATTTGCCTGAGCCAATTTACCTTTGTGATATTCTTTGTATTCATTCATAAGTTTCAATTTCCTTTCTAATACTGACTTTCATATGAGCTATTGAGATCCAATGACTTCAAAATTAAGAAGGTTTGAGTAGGATTCTAAAACAAAGCTAAAAAGAAAGATGCTGCCTAACCAAGTTTAATGAGGAATTTCAATGAAAAAAAAAAAATGGATCACGTCACAATGATGTTTGATGAAAGGCAAAAAATTTTGCAAACTCTGCCTGCTTTCACCACAGCTTTGTTCTGCTAGATTCTGTTTAGATAAGAAAAAACAATAGCCTGGGTCTAAAATGCTCTCCTTCCAAAAGATCCAAAACAAGAACAAAATGGAATCACTTATCACATATCACTGAAAGGAACAAAATACAAAATTTAGCAAAAAGACAAATTCAGGGTAATGCTCAACAACAAAATTGTACTTTTGTATTGAGGAAATGGGACAATTTTAAGAAAAATGATAGGAAAAAACCATAAAATACCAAAACGAGATCTGTTAAACCCTTCGATCAAAATCAAAGAGACTTAAAGGAGTCTGAGGGATATCAGCACCTTCATCATCATCTTCATCATCATTAAGCTCAAAATCTGCATCCTCTTCACTGTCTTCACTGTCCTCTCCAAGAGCCAATTGAAGGAGAGAATTGTTACCAGCTGGTTTTATCTGCCTCTTGTTTGGACCTCTGTTTACTGACAAATAAAGCAAATACTTTTTACATTCAACACTATTTTATCACAAGCATTCCCTGATCTAATCTTCCCAACACTGTGGCAAGCAAAATAAATTTATAGGTCTTCCACTCCCAAAAGAATGAGAGGGAAATTGACATTTATAAGCATACAGATCTTTTCTATTAAGGGCACTTCACCACCAACATTGAAGAAAAAATTATTTCAGAGAGAACTTACTACGGTAGATATGATCAGAACTTTGAATAGAAGCTTCCCTCAGGACAGGGTGGGACACAAATACTTTAACCCAGCAGGATATCTGAGAGCATTTTTTTGGTTAACCTGTGATAGATTGACACCCCATTCAGTAGGAACAGTTTAGTGCATGTCACTATGATCCTGACACTTGCTAAAATTTGCTCAGTTGATTCCCTTAGGCAATTAGTCAGTTTACTGGGGTAATGACCATTTTTTCAAATTTCTGACATACAGTCATATCCCTAATCCCATACCCAGGTGATTCTCAGCTCCAAGGGAGCAGTCAAATACCAAATCCAAGACATTTAGCACTTTCTGGTCAAATCCCGATCCCATAAATAGTGTACTAAAGGTAGCAAAAGAACTCATGTTTCAGCTTCATAATCATAAAAGCACCCTTTATTCAAAACTGACAGACTCAACTAAATACTCATGAAAATAACACTCTTCCTTTCTTGACATTGTTTCCGTTATTTGCCACTGTTTGCAAATTTGGTACCAGGCTGCTATCTGTCACATTTACATCAGAGACATGTAATACCTAGAGACAATTAACTTTCAAACGTTCTTCCTTCTTTGGTTGTGTTACATAAAGAGTCTCATAACCATATGACCAGATAAGGTAATTGTATGGCAGCGGGTTTCCCAGTTCATTTATCTTTCATTCCGTTTACCGATGTACAGCGGCATAATCACTTTGACACATGGATGTCCAAATTACGAATTGTGACAATAAAATCCGACAGAAACAATCAGCCTCCTTACTTCTATATTACCAATTAACCATTTTACACTACTTCGCTTACATAAAATAGTCATGGATAGAAAATACTTACAAATTGACTTTAGAAAGGTGTCCTTCTCTAACGCTTCTTTATCCGCCATATTGATTGAATGTTAATTACACGTAGGGACTAGTTACTAGGTACTATTGCGTGACCAACGTAACGGGCGCCCGAGGGTAAACACGGGCGGAAATAGGGTAGGAACATCATGTATGGGCTATTATTATGTCCTCAATACATATTATGTCCTATACTTTAAATACATGTAATGTGCTTTACATACAACACCCTACACACACATACAGGGCTAAACAAGGCTAGATACGGCTATAAACAGCTCTACAGGGCTATACACAGCTCTACAGGGCTATACACAGCTCTACAGGGCTATACACAGCTATACAGGGCTATACAGAGGTATAAGCAGCTATACAGAGCTATGCACATCTATACAGGGCTATATACACCTAGACAGAGTCAAACACAGCTATCCAAGGTTATACACAGCTATACAGAGCTATACACAACTATACACCGTTATACAGGCCTATACACAGCTATACAGGGCTATACACAGCTAAACAGGGCTATACACAGCTATAAACAGCTATACACAGCTATGCAGAGATATACATAGCTATACACAGCTATACACAGCTCTACAGGGCTATATACAGCTATACGAGACTATACACAGCTATACAGGGCTATACACAGCTATACAGGGCTATACACAGCTATACAGGGCTATACATAGCTATACAGGGCTATACACAGCTATACGCACACAATACGCAGCTAAATAGAGCTATACATACCTATACAGGACTATAGGGCTATACAGGGCTATACACAGCTACACAGAGCCATACACTGCTTAACAGAGCTATACACAGATATACAGAAATGTGTAAAAATGGATGGAAGAAATTTTGAGTTCCCGTTGCTATTCTATTGAACGTATGTGATCGAAATCGTTTTTCAATTGCTGTAACGATTCAGTTTGCATAAGATTTATTTGTTCCTGAAGGGCGAAGGATTAGGCACATCAAAAATGAAATTAAGGATCGGTTTGTCATCTAATAAGTATAAAAATGCTGTAAAACGAATTTTCTTAATTTTCTTTTAAATTCTTACTCCGAAATAGGCCGAAGATACCACTTAAGTGCTCAAGCGATCGTAGAAAACCTGCAGAGCTGAACGAAAAATGTTATCTACTACTTAGTAGGATAAGAACATTCAAACTAATGTGATTTACTTGGATTTTGCGAAAGTATTCGACTCAGTCGATCATACCATTCTCTCGACCAAGCTAAGGGCGTATGGGGTCTCGGGACAATTACTTGCATGGTTCGCTGATTATTTAACGGGTCGAGCTCAAAGGGTAGTTTTGGACGGCGCTGCATCGCAATGGGCCCCGGTTACTTCCGGCGTCCTGCAAGGGAGCCTGTTAGGGCCATTATTGTTCACGATCTTTATTAACGATCTCCCGGGTGAAACTGTAGGCGGGATGAGGGCAGCGCTATACGCTGATGACACCAAGCTGCATAAAAACGTCCAGCTCCGTCAGCGATTGTCTGTCTCTGCAGACCACTCTAGCAAACGTGAATGACCGGTCAAAGGGAAATAACATCAACTTCAACACCTAGAAATGCACAACGCTTACTGTGACGCGGATGAAAACTCCCTTGATTTACGAATACACCCTAAACAACACACAACTTGTGCGAGTGTCCGTGGAAAAAGATCTAAAAGTTACAATTACGGGTACGTTGTCTGGCACTCTTATATATATACCATCACCACTTGAGATAACAAGCTCCGTGGGCTCCTAAAGCGGACATGTCCATTACTAACTGACGTGTCTACCCGGTGCGCGCTATACTTATCGCTAGTCAAGTCACAACTCTGCTACGCTACTCAAGTCTGGTCGCCTGCTCAGGTTTCCCTGAAGGCACAAGTCGAGTGAGTGCAGCGGCGCGCTACCAGATGGATCTTACAAACCCGGATTGGTGAGATGTCCTACAGAGATAGACTTATTACCCTGGACTTACTCCCTCTTATCTACGACAGAGAAGTGAAAGACTTGGTATTCTTTTATAAGTGCTTCTTTAATCATATTCACCTTGATGTCTGTAGTTTCACAAACTTTATTTCTCACGGCTGTACTAGGCTGAGCAGCTCCTTTAATTTAAAAACACCAATCTGTGAAACGAGCACTTTCAGGCCTCCTACTTCAATCGCATTGTGAAACTTTAGAATTACTCTTGTTCTATTGCTCCTTCCTCTAGTTTTTCGACTCCGCTCTCCTTCCAGCTTTTCGTCAAACAAACACTTTTTGACTGCCAGAGAGCGTTCTTTGACATTGACTGGCCCTGCACGTAGACACTAATTAAAACTTGCTTGTGCTACAAGCTAGAGGTGTAGTTAGTACTATGTTATAAACCAAATGAAGTTGTTAAAAAAGTTGTCAATTCAAATGGCAGAAATTGAAGCAAATTCAGACTGACTTGTTAAGCCTTCTTGTAGCATGTAACCTGTTCTTTCTTTGTCAAAAATTAATACAATGGTTTTCGATAAGGTTTCGACAAGTTAAAGGTCATTAGTATATACTAAAGTAGTGGATAGCGTTGAAGGTGTGCTCTGATTAGCTACTCAAACTCCGAATATCCTTTGCTATTTACCTCCGAGCAACTCGCGAGTTTCACGCTCCCACACGTGTAGGAATAAATCGATTAAAATCATCTTTTTGTGCTATATTATCTCACTGATTTAGTGTGTACTAAAAACAGCTATTCGCCTCCGTGTCGTGGCTATTAATGAGTATTTGCCAAGCCGTTCGCGGCTCGTTAAATATCTGCTTCTAGCCACCTCCACTTCGGTAAATAGTTATTACTTATATCTGAAATAACCTCGATTTACAGAATTTGTTTCAGCACAAATGAAGAAAACATAATTTTCTTCATTAAATGATTTCCGGCTCAATTTCATGAACGTGAGCACTTACAACTTAGTACTAGTACAAGAATTCAACCTAATAAAGGTGCCAAGACATCGGGAGGATCTCGAAAAATTCTCGGTTCAAACCTCGATATATGAGGAGGTATATAGCATTATCAGAATTTACTACTACTTAGTTAACCTATATAACCTGTATAGCTGTGTATAGCCTAGTATAGCTGTTTATAGCTCTGTATAGCCGTGTATAGCTCTGTATAACCCTGTATAGCTGTGTATAGCTCTGTATAGCTGTGTATAGCCCTGTATAGCTGTATATAGCCCTGTATAGCTGTGTATAGCCCTGTATAGCTGTGTATAGCACTGTATAGCTGTGTACAGCACTGTATAGCTCTGTACAGCTGTGTATTGCCCTTTACAGCTGTGTATAGCTTTGTATAGCTGTGTATAGCCCTGTATCTAGCTTAGCCTTGTATGTGTGTGTAGGGTATTGTATGTAAAGTACATTACATGTATGTAAAGTACAGGACATAATATGTATTAGGACATAATAATGGCCCATACATGACGTACCTACCGGAAATAGAGCTCCCTTCGCAGGGCTGGGAGAGGTTTGTCTCTCACGGGCGTAATTTCTCGCTCGTGCACATCAATTTATAACAATTAGTAAGGAAAGCTAACAAATACCTGAAATTTTGTGTATCGTCTTTCTCCAGCTAAAGGCAAGCTTATTAACCAATTACATATGTTCATCACATCCATTTTTCCTCAGTTGCTAACAGGGCTATTATTTCAGCAAGTTCCACTGAGCTAGATAATTTAAGTGCCGCTTTTTTGTTCTCAACTATGAACCTGAAACTAATGGTTTTAGGATATTTCTTGATGAACAATCCATCACAAATAGTCCTGGCCTACAAATAAAAACCATAGCCTATTGAGGGAAACGGTAAGTGTGGACTAACTTACCCAGTTTTTTTTACAAGTTTGACCGAGTTCTGCGCTGCTAAGAAATATTCATACACTCTGTGCATATCACTAAAAAAAGTTTGGGGAACAGGTTTAATGTTTAAGATTTGAAGACCTTGAACTAAACTAGCCTACTGCATGGTGTCAAAAAGTGAGTCAGTCTGTTCCCCTGAGGGAGGGGGTCTATTAACTCAGATAGGGGGTGGGGGTTTGGGTGAGAGTACTTGCCGAAGGAACGTCTTACTCGGCATAACTTGACAAATCCTCATTATGGATAATAATCTGCTATAAATACCCTTCAACTCTGAAATTGAATAAACCTCAACAGATAATAGGGCTAGATTCAACAGTGTCAGTTTGACATTTGGTTTACAAGGTCACAAAATGCCACACTGAACAAAGCCAGCCTAAAATGGTTACTGTTAGCTGGGTTACTGTTTCACTGTCATGATCTGAAAAGTGACCCTGCTCATTTATGACCACAGCTGGCCTATGGTTGCCCCTACTCCAACATTACAACAGTGGACAAGTTAAAGTTAACAGTGATAGCAGTGACACAGCTTTTAGACCTGGACTTACTAGTAAATGGAGATGAGGTTAAAGCTAAAAATACATGGGTTTCTATCCAATGGAGAAAATTAATACTCTACATCTGGACCTTACTTGGTGCATACAAAAATAAATAACACTAAAAGTTTTTTAATTACTTCATCACAGAAGTACTTCTGTTACATACACATTATATGCTTTGTTTTAAAATCTGGCTCACACCACTAAAGTTACTGTAAGATGTTCGCTAATACTCTGATTTATACTTTGACTCATTCATACTTGTAAAAAAACTCACAAATTAGATTTTGAAAACAAATTCATGTGTCAACTTTAACTTTAAAATTTGTGTAGGAACCAGGAACATGGCAAGAGGTCCTCTTTGGTTTGGTAAATAGGTTTCTACATATTGCCACTAATGGTTAAAATTAAGTTACATGTGAATCTTCAATTATATATTTGACCACCAAGGAGAACAGTATTTGAGATGGAGCTTCCTGTTTACTATATTTATTGGTGACAACAAAGTCAATCATCTTCAGTGGGTTAAAGAAATGTTCCATAGAAATAACAGTTATAACAAAAACTTTTAATACAGGGAGTCTGCATTATTTGTGCGAGGTTTCTTGATCTTGTCAAGATTCTTTGTAATGGTGTCATGTAAAGAAAGCTGTAGAAGGAAATCAAATGCACAGACATAATAAGTACCTTCAATTTTAAACAATTGAAACATTTGTGTAAAAAGTATATCTATTGAGTTCATAAGAGCTATCATTGTTGCTAGCTGCTAGTCAATCACTGAAGGTTAAGTGAATTTCAGAGATAGAGTTAATGCAGTAAGCAAAATTTCACAACATAGTACATTTGATGCCTTTCACTATTTACTGTTGATCAAGGAAAAGATCATTTGAAAATATTTCTAAGTTGAAAACAAAATTGTTCTTACATAATGGTTTCGCAGCTCACAGCAACAGAGACGTAGGCTGGTAAATTCCTTCTCATCTAATTCAATCACAGCCTGTCTGTAATCATCCTGAAACATAAGCAAAAATAAAGCAAATGAATGGGTAACTATAGTTACAATTCATAAGGAAATAAGAGCAATCACAAGAAGTTTAATTTACCATAACACCTAATAATATGCATGCAAAAATTTCAGCATGCTCCTAGGTAAAGAACTGGTCAATTAATCCAAACAGTGCAGAAAGTTGAAATTGAGTGCAAAACATTGAAATTAGGTGCAGAACCTAGAATTAAATTGACTGACAGTAATTAGTAGCAAAAGCACAATAAAACTAATGGCAGACAAGCTCAAACAAACAACTGGCTAAAAGTCTGCAAGTTTTGAGCTTACAGAAAATAGCTATGACTAAAGTAGTGAAATGTGCTAAGTAGAGACCTTGAACAAAACTCTTAATGCAATAAGTTTAATACAACAGTTTATAAGAACAACAAGGAAGATTTCAAGCATAACAACCTTTACATAATGGTTTCTGCTTTTTATTGATATCTAATTAGAGATATCACAGAGTTATAAAGCTCAAAGCAAGTTGTTTAGGGAAAATACTCTTCAGCAATATGGAAAAGGCAAAGTAGAAATGACACAGAATCAAACAATTGCAGGACAATTATCGACAACTTACTAATTGTGGGTACTTTATGATTTTGGAGACAAGTTTTCCTCTTGTGATGTAATACCTGCAAGTCATAACATTATTTTACCATTTCTATCTTTTGTTTCTGGGGGTTTTGCTTCTCTAACTAATTAACACATTGAAACAATTGTTGAAAGACACATGGAATTACCATTAATGATATAGAAATATAATAATGTAATCCAAATTAAGAAATCCCTCTTAAAAAGTACATCATTTAAATATTACTACTTCATTTTAATATTTGCTTACTCCCTTGTCAAATTGAAGCTTGAATTATTTATTATTTCCAATAAAGCAATTGAGTGAGCACCTTGATATCTGGTCCAGAAATGTGGCTGCTTCTCCTTCAATTCTCTGTACTTCACTGAGAGTTTCTTCCTTCAGTGTATCCATTGAGATTCAAAAAGACATTTTAAAGTCAGGTAAGAAAGTGTGGAAGTCAAATTTATCATTTACATTTACAGAGAACCACAAACAAGTTTCTGCAAGTTACTAATCCTTTCTCTATGTATTTAATACCTAGACCATAATTCACAGTTCAATATTTCTTAATGTGGTTGAGCTCTGCAGTACCTGAATGGAAACACCAAAGTTATTTCCATCCTCTATTCTTGGAATTAGTAACTGAATCCACATCTTCACCTTAAAAAAAAAACAAACAAACAGAAACAGTTCTACACTGTACAGTAAATAATACAGAATTTAGCTAACAAACAAGTTATTGCGTGACTATAAGTTTCAGTCAACCTTGTTTTTTTTTGTGCATACATATACACACTGATTCTGTTTGGTCTCTAGTATGGTCTTTAAAGATTACCCCCCTGTTTGGCTAAAGATATTTGCATAAGATCCTCAGAAGAGTATTACAATTTTGGAGGATGCAACTTACCCTGAGGGACTGTAATCAAACAAAGAAATCTCCCAAATTTACTCACATTAGCCATATCTGACACAAAAACTTTAAAACCATATGAGAACTACCACCATAACATTTAGAACATATGGCTATAAACTTACAGTATTACACTTTTCCATCAATGTCTGGATTTTTGGTTTCAGAAGTTCAATTACTTGCAAAAGATACTGGAAAAAAGAAGGGATAATCAAGAGGTGTTAGTCAGAAGAGATCTTCAAAACACCAATAATCTCTTAGTAACCATTGTAACAACATCAATGTGTTACTGCCTACGCAAGAAGAAATACTCAGAACATTACCATTTTGTTTCTTTTAAATCTATTACAAGATGTGTTGGTGATGATGAAAGTGTTCTATCACACATTACTCTGTGACAAGCCATATTTGTAATTAGAATAAGAGAGACAATCATGACCCTATCAACATTGCTGATTTCAGCAGTATACAGGACAAGTGTTATATCAACTTTGTAATAGACCTTGCTCATCTAGAGTCTCTGTGGCTCAGTGGTAGAGCATCTGAGGGCAGGATCTGAAGGTCTGAGGTTTGATTCCTCATGGGGATTCGGAATTTTTTCTTTGTCCCACACTCATGACAAAACAAAAAAACATCTATTTCTTTATTGAGCTCAAAACTTTCCATCTCTCTTATTCTACTCTTACCTTGTTGCAAGGAATATGGGTAATGAAAGCTAACAAGAAGAAAAAGAGAAAGAATAAACAAACAATCAGTACAGAATGTTCTGCCAGAGGGAAGTTGAAAGACCAGAGCTTCAAACTAAAACCAAGGAAATGAAAACTCACATGACAAAGAATGATTAACAATTTGAGCATCATGACCATCTGCCACCTTTCTCTTTTTATTGCATGGCTACAGGAATAAAACCAAACATTGACCACCACAACATCTAAAAACAAATCCCAGTTCAAGGCATTGTGGGCCACACAGAATAAAATTCCATGTGCTGCCTGGCATTTTAGCTTAAATAGACATAACAGTGTTTGGTTTATGTCAAAATGCCCATTAACATCCATTGCTTATAGTTTTCGCCCTAAAAACCTTTGAAGCCAAAAATGGATGAAAATAGATGGTGGAGTAGAGTCTTTTGGTTCTATTGAAGTCACAAATCTATATTGCCTAAAAGTAGAGATTTAGATCAGTAATAGACAAATCATTTTGATTGTTTTCCTACTAAATTCTACTTAGCGCACAATTCACATTTCACACAGCAACTCAAGTCAAAATCGGTGATGATATAAAGTCACCTTAACATGAGCTCACCTCTGCATCAGTAACGGTATCATTTTTATAGACTGGCATGTTAACAGCTTTTTGTACTCTGACTATGGAATCCTTGTCAAACATGTCGGACTGAAAAAAATTGTTTTCTGATAAAAGAGGGGCTGCAGGACGGTAGAAAGTAATCAATTGGTTTGCAACATCAGTGATCTTTTGTGCATTGAGTGGAGAGTGATCATTATGGGAGGGAGGTAAATCTGCACATTGGAGGAGAGATTTTAGTGAGCTGTGCTTACAATCCACAACACTATTCTCGTGGAAGCCTGTTAATTTCTGTTGCCTTGTGGCCAACAAGGTGGATCTCGTATTTTTTGCAGAGTTCAAGTAACTCAACACATTCGGCAAACGGTATTTGATCCTTACCGCCAATTATCAACATTGACTCGTCAGTTTTCAAAAACCAGCTCTAAGTTGTTTCTTACGAAAAACTCTTTAAGCTTCTTCTTTTTTTTTTTTCTAAAACAAGCAGATATATAGATGTACCAGGGATGGGTATACTGAAAGAAAACGGCTTCTCTTGCTCAGACGCTTCATGAGAAGAATGCACATCGATCTAAGAATTTTTTTCTTTTTGTCTAGTGTCTATTGTATAAAATAAGTCAACTCGTATCCTGTGGTATGAGCAGTTACGATAAAAATACTTAAAGATCACTACAAAAAAACACTTAAATTTTGACCCAGAACCTTCCGAATTCGGATCTGAGCAAGAGATCACGACCTAGAACTTACACTTCGCTAGGACTAGTACAAATTGATCTTACCTTAAGAAGCTTATCAAGTTCAAACACCCTGTCCGGAAAGAAATTTTTCACCGCATCTTCAGCCTGAAAACGAAACGAAAATATTAAAGAAGACTAACGAAAAAGAATCAGAGATGTAAATTTTGCTGCGCAATGCACGAAAATGCTCACAAAGAACCATCTCAAAGACGTACCTCCTTTCTGACGGTTTCGTGAAAATCAGTAAGCTGGAACTCGCCAAGAAGAAATATTAATAAAAAGAACACAACGTACAACGTTTAAATTACAATAAATGTAAAGAGTTTCTTAATGAACAATTCGAAGCTAAAACAATTACAGAAATTGCCGGTGAAGAAGGAAAGTTATGTGGACATACGAGCCGGGCACACACCCATGGCTAAAACGAAAACCCAAAAAATAGCAAAAGATATCGCTACCTTTCCTCTAGACGAATTATTCATATTCAACTTCGCAAGTTACAGACCACGAGGAAAATGGAGAGAGAGTGAAATTATAAATGAGAACCTTACGAAAACAGTCAATTTCGCGGCTTTTTTCACAAGAGACCGCTGACAAACCATAGATGCATCCTGGGTCTCTCTACAAAAGCCTCGTTGTCAGAGACACTAAGAATCCTGAGAACGAGGCTAATTCTAAAAATCTGGAATTTACAGTACCTTTATGAAAACAAAATAGTAATACTATCTGGAATCTTGCCTCGCCAGTCACAGAAGCTTCACTGTAGTGTGTCAACATTTATATCTCTGTCTGGTCCTGTTCAGCTGTTATCGCTTTCCTGACCGCGTAGTCAAACTTTACAGGCCGCCGAAATGAGCGAGAGGGATGTTGTTGCAACTTGGGACATAGCTCTGTCCGACGGGAAGCATAGAATTCAGTTTGAACATGGCACTACCACCGGTAAGCGAGTGATTTTGGTCGATAATGTGGAAGTTATACGGAATAATTGGATGTTTAGACTTGTGGGCAAAGAGAGTTTCTATGTCGGAGGAAAAAGAGCAACTATCCATATAGAGGCAGTGAGTGGCTTTCAATACGAATACACTCTTGAAATTGACGGCAAACCACTTAAGAAGTTCGTGGAAAATCGCAAGAAAACCGCTAAAGTCTGGACATTTCTTCTCGACGGCGTGGAAACACGAATGGTGCTGGGTAAGGATAAGTTTAAATCAGCCAGGGGCGGCGGTATAATTGTTACTACAGCTTCTGTCGACTGTAATTTCCATCGCTGCCAATCGTGTTTGTATTTCAGTCAGTAATAAGGGAAGGGTGATGGTGACATGACTGACAACACTGTCTACCACTCCATGCATTTCTCTCAATAAATTTTAAGCAGAGAATAAAAAAAATAATTTCAAAGCTGATATCATTTGTGTGTGAACAGAATCAATAGATTGAATACGAAGTTTCCATGGGTTTGAGATTTATCACGATCAAGTGTAACTGACAGCCTGCGCATTCAGATTTCCATAAGCTCGTTCTTATTTCGGGGCAGGTGTTTCTATCAAAGGAATCAGTTGTCTGATTTTTTTTTCGACGAAGGACAACAACTTTGAAACGAATTGCAGTGCAGTTGATACAACAGGTTACCTTGGTGTAAATTACCAACAACTACAATTAATTACAAAATGTCCACAAGTCTAAATACATAAATAAGTGATCACATATGCACAAATATAGATATATACACCTTAGTGAGCTTCATTTTCGTTTAATACCCCAGCCCCCCTCTTTCTTTATGCATCATACATTGAAACAGAGTCAGTGGAATTCAATTCAAAGAGCTTTGTGAAGCTATTTGTTTCATATGCCAAGGTCTGTAAAATATCAAAACAAGAAGAAAGTATCACTTTAAACAATGTGTCCTAACTGTAATATTTTGGTTAGTTTTTAAACAAATGTGGATTTAATTCTACTTACTTTTTCAGAGAAAGATACCATGGAAGTGTGGGTGAATGGAGTGGTGGTGGAGACAGCTGTGAGTAAAATTATAATAATCCATGTTCATTTGACTGATGATGTGCTTGTATCCAGTTGATTTACTTCCAGCCTTTGCCATGCATTACTGCTTTCATTGTTCAGATGAATGAAGGTTTTCTTTTGTTTCTTGTTCTGTAACAGATCTCAAAATTTGCCACTTGTTAATTCATTCACTTACAATTTTCAGGGTGAATTTGTTGATGATGGAACAGAAACTCATTTTACCTGGGCCAATCACACATGTTATATCAAAGCCATTAGCTCTGGAAAGAAAAAAGATGGAATTATTCACTCCCTGATAATAGATAGTAATGAAATACCGGAGACAATGGATGAATGACATCACCACTCATAAGCAAATGTAACTGCAATGACAGCCACATTCCTCTGCACATTTCACATCTAAACATTTGCTCAAGTTAATTTCAATAATATAACCCTGTCTTCATGGTAGTGTTGCTGAACACCTCTTTGAAGGGTACACTGTTTGAAACAATACTGTTACCGAAAATAAATTTTATAGCAATTGTGATTATTTGTTAGTAATGCAGTAAACTGAATCCTTCACTAGACTATAATTCTATGAAGCTGATACCCAAGTAGGTGTTTGTATGTTGGAAATAATGAGGGTAAAAGGGCATGTCAAATCACAGCTGTGAGTCCTATGGGTCTGTAACAGGGACCCTTTGATTATTGTTTGTTCCTTTCTCAGGATTGTTTTAACAACCTTTTGCCCTCATGTTGGCCAACTTAAGCTTTGATTACTTTGCTTGGCTTCTCATTTCCTGATGATTGGTAGAATAGAGGGAAGATTCCCTTCTACATACTTTGTAGTCTGTGGTTTACCATAACATACTAAAGTTTCCTGAGGAGATCAAATTATCAGTCATGCCAATTATGCATACAGTGTACATGTGTATTGAACACTAAACTTTGTGACTGAAATAAGTTGGTGCTTCTGTTCATGTGATGTTTTTGTGCAATGATATTACTTCTTGCTGCAAATGGAATGGAAGTGGTGCAACAACAAAAAAATCAGGGGCTGCTTGATTTCCTTCATGCTCTCAAATAGTGACTTATCCATAATCCAAATATGGAAGCCACTTTCATAGACACTGATAGGTGCAAAGAAATTTCTTAATATTGTTCCTGTAGATGTCAGCAGGTTTGGGGTATTGAACTGATTGGAGTATGGTCACTCATTAAAGTATTACACAGTGAAAATGAGATAATTGCTGATACCAGTATAGTTCTGGCTAAAGATTTTGTTGACCTGACAAAGCTGGAACTGTATGCAGTACTCATGGGTATGTGGCTTTGTGGTTCTCTGGCATTTCCTACTCCCAAACATGCTTGGTTTATAACACAACTAACATTAAAGATATAGTTCAGTTTTTCCTTGTTTACATTGAGTTATTTCATTTCTGATAGCTGTCACAATCATGTGTTTACCAAGTGTCTCTGTATTTCATTTAAAGTGTGTTCTGATTCAATTTCTTTACAGGAAGGCACCTTTAAATTGGTACACATTAGCTGTACATATTGAACTATAATTGAAAATAAAAATGCAAAGTGAATATAAAGAGCAGATTTGTGGGGTTGTTGCTGTCCTTTGTTTTTCTAATCTTCTTCTAATCTTCATTTAAAAGAATTAAGAGCACAATCTTTCTCTAAATGTAGTTCTACTCATGAATTTTATTGGGGCTCATTAAAACCCTTGTCTGCTTTAATCATTTTAAACATTAAATGCTACAATTAACACCCCTATCTCTGGCACCCTTAGAAAAGTAAAAAAATCTTGAGTCCTCGAAGAGGAAGACAAAGTTCTTATAACAAATTGGTAAGAAATGGTATTTTGTCACGTTGAATTAAAAATTGTAAGAAGAGCTTTCAACTTGAAAGAGTGTTCATTGAGAGGGCCTCAAAGGTTATTTAAAATTGTTTGATAAGAAGTAGTATTTAGACACTAACATACACATCCAGAAAAAATCACCTACCAAGACTAAATATATTTTTCCAGTTTCAAAGAAAACTTACATGTATCTTGTCCTTCAAGAATCATTGTAATTATTATAGCTATTGGAAACAAGTGTTAATTGGAGTAATACAGCTGTTGCTTGCTATTCAATTTACAATAGTTCTTTATTTTGCCAAGTTATGTAGCTTCCAAATTCTCTCTTTATCTTCTTTTTCCTTCATTACATTCCTCTTTTATATTTGATGTTTTTCTTCCATATTTGGAGTGTTCTGCGTCTCGAAATTCCTTGTGGTCATACTTATCATTCTTACTTTCTCTATCCCTGGAATTCTTTTCTTGTTTCCTATACTCTCTCTTTTCATCACAATCTTTTGATCGATTGTACCTATACTTTTCCTCCCTTCGGTTATGTGTCCTTTCTAAATCCTCTCTCTGATCACTAGAATTCTTCCCATGTTTGTAATCTTTCATCCTATCTCTTTGATAACTGCTAGTTCTTCCATCCTTCAAGTTGTCTCCCCTGTTTCCTGAATCTTTGGTGTTAACTCTCTCATTTTGACTTTTCACCTCCTTCCTCTCAGTGAATTTTCTCTGGAGTTCCTGGGACTTGTATGTAGTGTTTCCTTCATCAGCTGAAGTTGGTAAAGTTCCAGGAAGCACTCCACCCTGTTCTGTCCCTTTCACAAACCTTATCAACAGTTTTGGCCTAAGAGCCTCCTTCAATCTCAAAGTATCAGCATACTCTATTACTTTTTCAAGGGTATCCTGTTGTTGTGTTGGTGTGGAAGAAAGTTCCTCATTCTCAAATGATGTTCTTGTTTCTTCCTCTGTTATGTCTTCCTCTTCCTCCTCTTCACTACTTGATTCAGCAAATGCAGCAGCAGCAGTAGTCTTGGTAGGTTTAGATTTCAAGCCAAACTGTATAACATTTGCACATTTTTTTTTCCCAAGACTGAAAGAAAGACCCTGCTTTGCAGTAGATATACCAATAGGTCTCTGGGGCTGACCTTGCTCCTCAGAAGATGAACCCATTTTGAAGCTAAAAGGCTTCTTAGCTTGTTGATCTAATGGTGCTAAAGGTGGTGGTGGAGGTGGAGGGACTAGTTCATCAGGGAGGGGTGGAGCAGGCTCAGTTGGAAGAGGAGGTGCAAATTCAAAGGGTTTTGGAGGTGGGACTGCTTGAAAGCTCTTATGTGCTGAGATTGGCTTAAAACCCAATGTGCTGTTTGGACCAGTAGATGAAGACTTGAACACTGACTTAAATCCTCCATTGCCACTGCTGATTACAAAAAACATACACAAAAACAAATAGAATTATTGAAATTAGCAAGAAAATTCACAACACTCTAGGTATTAATTCATTCAGCCTGATTTGCTCCATTACAGAGTTTACCTAAGTGACAGATTTATAAAATAATAAAGAGTTAAAGGACAAATAAAATAAAATGAGAAAAAGAGGGCTACTTAAGTCAATGCAATGTACAATGACCTTGATTCAGTGTTCTTTCCAGAAATAAGGTGGAGCCTCATCAGTTCCTTTTCCATCTGTTTCTGTTCTTTTTTCTTCTTTGCAACTACAATAAGAAAAATTCATATCATGAGCTGTAAAAATTTACACAAATAAAGCTCCTGTTTGGAATTTCTAACAATAAAACACCACCTTCTTGAGTGGTAACCAGTCAAGTCATGCAAATTCATCTCGCCCAAAGTCATGTCCCCCAATTTTTATCACTCGTAAGAACATCAAAATGGTATATGTAATGGTATATTTTTAGAAACCACTGAAGGTAGCGATTAATAAAAACAACCTTTTGGTGTATTTACTTACATTACCAATCCTTCAATAGTGAAATGTCATTGTAAATGCAACCTGATTCAAACATTTAGCAAACACATACAACCAACATAAACAAGGTTTACTTAATTCAACCTATGATCTGAAGAGTATTACGAAAGTGCTAAACTAACAAGAACAATCTTTGTATTCACAGACATCTTCACTCTTAAATTGTTAATCGAATAAACAAATCAATGCAAAACATATAGTGAAGCAGAGGAAACAGATTGAAACAAATGTATCACATTGTCCTAAAGGAAGAAAATAAACCTGAACTAAACTTCAGCAGATGCAAACTAAACCTGAACAAATGGAAGATAACAGCCAAAATACGCAAAATACAAAAGAAAACCTAGCATAGAAACAAAGAAAGCACACAACATAGACCTAATTAACATAAACTACCAAATCGACTGTTCAATGCTGCATTTTGTTTCCAACAACGCTTTTAGAGTCATGACTCAAACAAAATGTAGTTGTGACCACATAATCAATTTCTTTGTCTTCGTGTTGTTGTTGGCAACCTACACCATTGAGTGATAAAGTTCCTCAAGTTTAAAAAACGTCTATGAGTACGAAACAAGAGATAAAAAAATGGGGCAACTTGACTTTTTATTTCAGGAAACATGAATTAGGTTTTGGGCAACATGACTTCCAGGAAAATCAACTGTGAACCTCTTGAGTAACAAAAGAAATAAGGAGGAAAAAAAACTTGAAGCAGATTCCATATAACTTACAAATATTTCTTGTTGATTCTCTTTGCCTAAGTTCCCTGAGTCGCTGTGGAAAGATTGCCATAAAAGAAGTCAGTATTGAATAATACATCAAAGGGTGGGTTGTACAGTCATTTAAGATTAATTTGTTAAAAGTCTAAACCAAAAGTCTACCAGAAAATAATTAAACTGCTTTATCAATATCATCCTGAGTTTATGTCAAAAGTTTTTTGTCAAATCAAGGCATGAAGATACTCTATGAAACAAAACAATGTTTTCAGCTTAGGGTTATTAAGATGTCACTTAACCTGGCGGTGTGCATGGTCATAAGAGTTGATATGGTTATCATATTCCTTGTATTTAAAATACTGTTTGTCACAAAGTTCACAATAGAACATCTCTTTTAGATCTTTCAAGCTCTCCTCGATTGCTTTTTCCTTCTCTTGCTCATTCTGTGGAAACAAACAAAAGTTTTCTGTCAATGTCCTTTAACTGACTTTAAACAGTATATCAATCAACACATAAAAATGGTAGTGCATTTATCAGGTAACAACTTTTTATCAATATTATTGCTTCATTGTTTATTCTTTGTAGATCCAAAAAAAGGTTATTCCTGGGTAATACAAAGAGGAACTTAAACCTGATATTTTTGCTGCAGTTCTTCATTATCTTCTTTCTCAATCTCCAAAACTTTCCTGTTACGAGTAGCTTCATCCGCTTGCTCAAACTAACCAGGAAATAAAACAAATCAGATGTTTCCAACACAAATATTTTCTAATGTATTAATTGACTTGAGGTCCATACTGATACTTAGATACTTTACCATAGAATTATGATCATAAAGAAATCATAAGAACTTTTAAAACCTGTGCCAATGCACCTAAATTGTAAAGAGTTAACAGGATTCACCAATAGAAATTTATACAAAATATATGTATTATATAGAGTAATCATCTCATATACAGAAAAAAAAATAAATGGAAACAATGATTATAAATATGATTCCAGTTTAAAATGATAACTTGTATTTTCCTTTGTTAAGAAATAATGTAATGTACCTGGAATAAAGGGAAAAAATTATCAAACCAAAAATCACTTAAAACCATTTGCAACCTGAAATTAATTTCTACCTATATTATAACAGATACATACTAAACAAGTGTGAAATTTTGTCCATTGTTTAAAGTTGAAAACAAATTAAATCCTTGGTATACTAGTTCTATAAATTACTATGTTACTATTAAATAAAGGAACTCAACTGAGATGAAAGCATGTGCGATTTACTTGAAAGGTCTGTGATTATCAATCCCTTTGTTAGATCTGTAATTAGAGATAACAGAGAGAGATACACACCTCAAGAGTAAGACGGCCGATACATAAAGAATCCTCCTTCATGACAAGAGGTATTGGTTCTGTGCGACCTGAAACAAGATGTAAGCAGGAATTTTTTAAGCTGTTTATTAGTGACGGTAAAAAAGACTCAAAGTCACACTGTGACAGTTTTTAGCTGGCATTTTGATAAAAGTATTGAAAGTACTATCAATAGTCACTAGCGTTACCAAACTCAAAGTTAAGCTCTACAATTAAAACGGGCTCTTTAATTCAAAGTACACAACTGACTATGATACAACTTCTCTTTACCTTGTTTCTTCTTCCCAAGTCCAGATCCACTGATCCAACCAAGTCGCAAAGCCATCTGATATCCAATATTTTCCTGAAAATGTTACGCACTGAAAAATTCAGCAGGGAAACCAACAACCACTTGAATCTAAATTGTCTTTTCAAATAAAAAAGTTATCTGTCCAATGCACTCGCATACACCGATACAGTTATGCTTACTTAAAATAAAGGTTCTAAGCTTTAATTT